GAAAGCGTAGCGACATTCTCTGACGGTACTTCAAAGCTTTCTCTACAGAAGTGAATTTATCGCTCTATTTATTTGTGCCCATCGGCTCAGAGTCAGTCTGCTGAAGCAAACTGTTGGGTATGGCGCGGAGCCGTTTTATTGGTGGAAATTGCTTATTATTCTTTTTATTTCTTTTTATTTTCCACCGGAAATTCTGCGTGGAGCCGGGTGCGCAAAGACCAGTATTGGTCATTTGCTATTTAGACCTCTGAGGGTTAACATCCGGTCCTTCGCTTGCTCCGTGCCACCACATAGCCATATTAGAAATGATGTTTATCTTTACAAAGCTTTAAAAGTTTTATGTATCCAATACTCTTGCTTTGTATTATATATGTATATAATGACGAGCTACACACACACAAACAACACACACTCACACACACACACATATATATATATATAAAATTAATTTATCTTTAATTAAATTTTGTACCTTTTAGATATTTTCATATATATATATATATATATATATATATATATATATATATATATATATATATAGACAAACAGGATTTACAGAAATGAATGCCCATTTTATCTCTTTATTTTTACAAAGCTTTAGAAGTTTTGTGTCCGACGCTTTTGCTTTGTATTATATATGTATATAATGACAAGCTACCCATTTGCTTGTCAAATCGACTGTGGTGAGATAGGTAAATGAACGTTCTAACTAACCGCCCCACCCACCTACACACACGCACGTACACACACACACACACACACACCTATATATATATATTTCTAAATAATTAAAATTTATTAAACCATAGACATGAGTTAACGGTTTTTTGTCGACATCAACGAATTTTCGCATTAAATGATTAGCATGAAAAAAAAATTCATAGTCTAATAAAAGGTTTACAACCTTAACTCAATCATAAGATAGAAAAACCCTTTATGAAGTCGTCAAAAAACAAATTGTAGTTCAGTGCGACGCGTTTATATAAGAAACAGCCCTTTCGGAAAAAAAATTCTCTAGACACTTAACGACTTATTATGGTGCCAACAGCTATCTGTCGCTGTGACTGACCAGAAGATGTGGGTACATGAATGCCATCATTCGCTTTGAAATGGACACCCCGGCCCTCTTTCTTTCTTTTGACCTCTTCCCGAAGGTAACTGATATGTGGATACAAATTAACTCTTAGGCCCTTTTAAAAATGGTCGCTCCAGCCGTTTCCATAGTAATTAATTTCGCGAATGAACATGCTTATAAAGATGCGTAAATTTCAAGCAAAAATTTTGGAATTGATGAAACGGGACCCAACAGCTTGATTCAACTTAATTTTAATAATTATATTGATGGTTTCGGCTCTCGTTTTTGAAACATGAGAACTCTTATGTAGCGAAGGAATAATATTTTTTAAAAATATTATAATATAAGCTCTACTTCTGTATGGAGCACTGTCTTCTTAAAAATAAAAACAAAAATATTAAGAAACTCCGGATTATTTACCTGACGTGTTCCTTCCTATTTTTCTGCATACCTGCGCGCACGCACACACACATATATATTTTTTTTCTAAGAGCAGGTTTGAATTCAGAGTTTTCCTTCTCCTAGACTAGTTGCCATCCAAGGCTATAGAACCCAGTCTGTCCTGCTATTTACCCATAGCTGGACGGAGAAGAAGAGGATTCACACCTTTCCCAAGGGTGTTAGCACGTAAGTGAATGTAAATGGATTCGACTGGAATTCGAACTCGGCTCTTCGATTCCTCAATCCATGCCGCTATCCATTACTCCACCGTGCCTCTTAGAAAAAAAATCCAAGGAGCGTCTGCATCGGCAACTGGTGGCTTCTGGTCGTTCCTGTCTCTGCGTCTTTGGAACCCCCGCGGCAAGCAAGAACGTTATCCGAGTAGGCCTGGGTACCCTACTTCTGTAATTTATCCCAAGAATCTTCTTCTCACAACAGGAAGAAGCCGGCTCAATCCGCCCAGGGTGAATGCTGCATCAAGCAAGCAAGCATATATATATATATATATATATATATATATATATATATATATATATATATATATAAACAGGATTTACAGAAGTGAATGTCCATTTTATCTCTTTATTTTGACAGAGAGAGTCACCCTTTATAAGACCCGGGAACCACTCAGGTTACATTCGGAGGCCAGTTGTGTCTATAGGTGATGGGGGATAAAGATTAACCCTAGCCTTGACTACGTTAAGATTGTAGTGTTCGGAGGAAAATCCTCTTGGGAATCGATACCAAATTGAAGTAGTTTAGGGGAAGAACCTACTCAAGTGGGACTTATTTCTAACCAATAAGAAGGGAATATGGGTGGTTACTATGTAAGTGGCATGGCGTATTCTTGCCTTGGCGCGGCCATGGAATGTAGTTCTTCCGAGCACTTTTCATGGAAGTAGCGGTTGAACAGCTAAAGGCTTATGAGAGAGCGGTTGAAGGGTGTAGAATAATTCGTCACCCACAAGGGCTCGGAGACGCGATGGGACTCTATCAAGGCTGGAGCGTGAGGTATGTGATATTGACACACTGGGGGGTCAAATAGTATAAATCCAATTCAATATATTAACTGATTGATCTCTGAGATGATCTTAGCAAGGCACAGGGACATGATACGGTACCTAAAAGATTCTGCTGTAAATCTACAGTACTGTAGCTGTTACGAAAACCCGCACTTGATACACCATCAATTTCATCTCTAAGACGAGTTTGCGATTCAGTGAGTCAGCTTTATTGTTACCACCCGCTCTACCAAGTATAAAGAGTCGAATCCACCACATCCGCTTTGTATTCCATTAGTAAGGAAGAAGTTCATTTTGAACACCTTCTTCTGAGGAACCGCTGTTTTGTGGACCAGACTTCCGATAGGATGTTTAGCTGATCATTGCAATCTTAACCTCTTTATGACGTCCTAGGTATGACGATAAACTGCATCCACGTCCTTGGTAAGACGATAAACAGCATCCGACAGCAAGGCCTCTTATCAGGAGGTTTTGAGGAGCGGAGTACCAACTCTTAATTACTGGTGTTCCCAGGTTCATCCTGACTTGGGGTAGTAGCAACTGTTAAGGTCCCAGCTATGGGTAAATAGTTATCCCCAAACTGGTGTCAAAACACTATGAAAGTGTGAAAATAGATTTTAATATGAACAAACTGCTCAAATATTCTTCCCAAGAATAGGTGGTAATTTACAGATAATAAAGACGAAGAAACTGTGGATGTCAAATATTATCAAATTTTACAAGACAACGAATGTACTAACTTCCGGCATTGTAATAATTTTAAGAATTTTCCATTAAGATATTTACTCGAGATTTACTTGACACCCTAATGAGTCAGGTTGTGGCACAAGGTCGGTTTTTAATGTGGGGACCCTAGTGTTTTCACTCGAACCACTGGTCTAAACTGGTCTTAGCTTGTCAAAGATGCTCAGAGCTTGTCTAAGCTGGTCATGCCGCAACGTAATAGATGTCACGCAATAGTGGGTAAGAGGTATGTAAGTGAGGAGAGAAGGCCTCCGGCACGGGACAGAAACTACATCTGCAGCATCCATCCCGACATGGATCCCCCACCCCTTCTCCTCCTCTGTCAACCCTCCCAGAAGAATCTAGAAGGAAAGCCCCCTTCCCAAATGATTTTATAAGCGGAACTTAGATGTGGCACAAGGCCGAAAGTATGTATTGGACTCATTGCTCAGTTTTAATGGTTCTAGCGAGACAAGCTTGCTAACCACGTCGAGGTGACCTTGATCAGCAAGTAACCTTGCGGGGTAAAGGAGCCCCATCTATTATGATATTTACTCATAGATGTTTTTGCTTGACCAGGGCTTATAAACAGACTCTAATTGGATAACCTGTCAGTCATATACAGAGTGGTTTGGACACCTCGATGTGGTGTAATGGTTAGAAAGCTTGTCTTGCTAGATCAGTTACGATTGAGTAGTGAGTTCGATTGTCACTTATTTTCCGTCTTCTATTAAAAAAATTCCCAGATATTTAAATTGTCGTTACTTCAATTTGATATTTGTAATTTGCATGTAAGGCTGTTTGTTCATTCTAATGACAGCTGTCTGTTTTCTTGTAATTGGTGCTTAGTCCTTTCTTCTCGCTTTCCTTAACTACTTTCTGCAAAGTTTTTTTTTTTTTTGTATTTCCCTTTCCGTGTCTGTTATCAATACTTGGACAATAAAATTATAGATCATTTCTCTCACGAAGTTGTTTTATTTTAGAAGTATTGGTCAAACCGAAACTGTAAAATACGAAGCAATAGTTTTTTTAGCTATGGAGTCGACACTTGTTTCCAACAGCTCAATATTTATTTATAAATAATAATTTCAGCCTTGAGCCACATCTAAGCTAATTTTGGAAAATCAATACACAGAGAGACTGAAAAGTAACTACCTCTTTTATACATGATGGACTCTCCCGTTAACTATAATTTTACAAAACCGGAGAGTTCATCAAACATAATATAGGCAGTTAATTTTCAATCACCCTGTAGAATTAGGATTTATTTTATGTACGAAATAAGAAAAACAATTTTACTGTATATTTTATTCCGGCATCTCGAAAAAGTTTTCCAAAGGAAATATTTTGAATGGGATCATATAGTGTCAATAATGTTTTTACTTTATTTCTTATTCTATTTTATAAAGTCTGAGTCATGAAATGCTTGAAGCATTGTCCGGTGAGAGTTGTTCAACATGGCTGCCAAGGTGATTATAGAAGAGCAGTCATTTTGCTATGTTTCATTTTTCTTCTATTGGCTCGAATAGATGAAGGAAGAGTTCCTCTTTTCTTCAAGACGAATCACAATACAATAGTAAGGGAAAAGTAAGAATGTCGACGAAAAATACCGGGTCCATTATCGTAAAGCCAAATTAGTATTATGAATTAGTAGGAAAATATTCCAGACGAAACTATTATCGACAAATCATTCCAATTACATTGATGCACCTCAAAGCTTTTTGAATGCCATTAATGACATGGATAAGATTCATGTTGGTTTTTCATCCGGAACTCCATCTAAATCTATCTATCTATCTATCTATCTATCTATCTATCTATCTTAGTTTGTTCATATGTGTCGATCAATCTTTGTTGATATCTATCAATCGATCTCTCTAAGTTTGTTAATATCTATCTATCTATCTATCTATCTATCTATCTATCTATCTATCGTAGTTTGTTCATATCTATCGATCTATCTTTGTTCATATGTATTTGAAACAGTGCTGCAAATATTTAAAAATTGAAACAGTACTGCAAATATTTAAAAGCAAAAAATGTTATTTTTATGAGCATATATATATATATATATATATATATATATATATATATATAATGAATTGCAATTAATGAGATCCAAACAATTTACCTCATACAGATGATCATTTCGTCCATGGGAAAGTAGTTTTTCCTGGACTTATCAATGCAAATAAATTTACTATATATATATATATATATATATATATATATATATATATATATATATATGTGTGTGTGTGTGTGTGTGTTCTTCCGTGTAGCAAGCGATAGAGACAGACGCATACATAGATAGATAGAATCCGTGCAAACATAGAAATTAACATCAGATCATATAGTATTTACTTTCTTTTGTGTTTATGTATATATCTATAGTGATTTTACAAGCATAGCTTAGATGTTGCACAAGGCCGAAAGTAGGGGGCACCCAGTGAGGATCGAACTCACTACTCAATCGTAAACGTAAACTTTTCAATACTTGGCAATTGTTCCGATAAGCTTTAATCTTCGGTGTTCCGACTTTATGAATTGAAGAGCAGTACTAGAGTGGTAGTTAAGTCTCATCGATTTTCTGTTGAAATTACTAGATGTAACCAAGTTCCATTCAATTAGTTCCTTCCCTCGCACATCTCGCCTGTGTAACTCACTTCCAGCTTGTTTTCCTGCCAACTATTATCTTCAAAAATTTAAATGCAACGTCAAGGCTCATGTCCTAATTTCTTGAATCCTAAAAGAAAATATAACCAAACACCAGAATTTTTGAGAAATTACTTCTTGGCCAAACATTTTAGCACACCCTCATACATATACATATATATATAATTATTTATTTAAAAATATGATTTAGCGATTTGGAATCATATTTTTAAATAAATAATTATATTTATGCTCTACTTTTGTATCGAGTACTATTTTTTAAGAATAATAACTAAAATACTAAGGGACTTTGGATTATTTACCTAACCAGTTCCTTCCTATTTTCTATATATTTTCATATATATATATATATATATATATATATATATATAATACACCCTCACACACACACACATATATATTGCATCCACAGACTGTTTCGTTATAACACAGCTCTTCAGTGTTGCTATACGTCCGAATGCTCAAACTGGGATCGAAACCCGACCGATTTCTCCTTAGTCAGAGATGCTATTCCAAGGCAGTTCTCGCACGGCGGAGGGAAAGTGAAATTTTAACGTTTTCTATACGAAATACGCCAGTGGCCCGGAAAGCTCAATTCTGTTGAAGAGCAATGCATTAATAGCAGTAGGAGCTTATGTTTTTAAAAAGTTCGGCGTAATACAGACACACACACAAACACACACACACACACATATATATATATATATATGATTCAAAACAACGTTACAAATAGTTTCATGCGATGAAGCGAAACTTAGATGTTTCTGTAAGCCAAATGGGAATCAATACATATATATATATATATATATATATATATATATATATATATATATATATATATATGAAGAAATATAGTCTTAAGGTGTGCTAAATTTATGCTCAATATCAGAGTTAGAGCGTGTGTAAATATAAGTAAACATTGAAGTCAACACTTAAAGCGACAGGCTGTTTCATGCCAGGCGCAATCGTCAGGCTGACGATTGCGCCTGGCATGAAACAGCCTGTCGCCTTTAACCTGTTGACTTCAATGTTCACTGTTATATATATATATATATATATATATATATATATGTGTGTGTGTGTGTGTGTGTGTGTGTTTGTGTGCCAAGCCTTATCGCTAGTTTCACGGAAAGTACTCGGACGAACTACATTCCGTGGTTCCGTCAGTTCTAACCATCACAGCAAGGACACTCCAATCTATTTACATTGTAGCAAACCGTTCACATTCCCTCCGTATTCCATCGGTGAAGAACAAGTTCCTCCCCAACAGCGTCTTTCCGTGTCACCACTGCTTCGTGGATCCGATTTCCAAGAGGATGTTTCATCAATCAGCAAAATCCTAACCTGTTAAAGTCACATGGTAACTGTTTTCTTCTCCTCATATCCATACAAACTACCTCCTAACGTAACCCTCAGCATCGAGATTCCTCGGAGGCTTTGTACAGTGTGAACCTTATTGTAAAAAAAAAAATCGAAAACATGGCAGTGATATGAAATGCATGTTACCCTTCTGATTTCTGATATGGATAGAGCAGATTTGTTCAGCAAAACTGAGAAGAAATGTGTTCTCCGATATAAGCCATTATTGAAAGTGTTCAAGGAGCCCGTCATGGTATGGTTTTTCTCCTATAAGAAATTCGACCAGGACTAGAAAGTCAGCAAGAGTCGTAACGTTTAGCTCTGTACATAAACGACGGGTACAGTCTCGGGGAATCATGCAGAGTTCACGACTCTCTGAGTTCATGACAATAAGGGCCATCTTATGCTATCTCATTTTTCCCATAAGAACTAGAGTTTAATTGTCTTTGCAATCTATCTATCTATCTATCTATCTATCTATCTATCTATCAGCCTGTTCATATCTATTCCAGTCTGTTTCTATCTATCTATCTATCTATCTATCTATCTATCTTAGTCTCTTTATATCTATTAATCACTCTCTTTTATATATATATATATATATATATATATATATATATATATATATATATATATATATATATATTTCAGCCTGTTCATATCTATTCCAGTCTGTTTATATCTATCTATCTATCTATCTATCTATCTATCTTCTCCGTCTCTTCATATCAATCTAAGTCTGTTTCAATCTATCTATCTATCTATCTATCTCTCTATCTTAGTCTCTTCATATCTATCTATCTATCTATCTCTCTATCTATCTATCTATCTATCTATCTATCTATCTCATCCGTTTCTTTCTATTTTTATATATTTTCTCGCATGTTGCAGGCTATTATATCTGTAATAAATTAAGCAATCTTAGCTGTTAAAATAGGTCTTTGAACAAATAAAAATCAAAAGCAGATACGTTTCACATTTGTTATCATCTATATTCGATTGTATTATACATATATCAGTTTATTTTCGACACTAGTACAAACATCGTTTAATTGCTAAAATTTATGACGTAAATATCCAAAGAAAATATTTCAGTTGACAATTTCTGTTTTTCTACTGTTGAAGATAACTCAAAAACTGCAGGGCTTCAAGATTGTTACAATAATAAAAGCGTTAATGATTCTGATTCGTTTTGGAAGATTATTTGTGAGATTCATATTGAAACCGGGAGGCTGAGCCAATTTTAAAATGATAACGCTTACGTATTTTAACATGACATTAAGTTCCCCATAGTTTCCAAAGCAATGTGGTGCATTATGGGAAAGGAATGAGGTCCAGTTTGGGGAAAATAAAATAAACATGCAGGTATAAGAAAAGACATTTCTGCCGGGAAGCAGATATTTGCAGATTTTATGGCTGCTAATTAAATGCGATGAATATATTGTTTTTTTTATTTATTTTTAATCAATGTGAATATTGATATTTAATAAGCTCATCTTTTTTATCCCATACTGTCCCTTTCAATTTAAAGCTGTTCATTATCTATCTATCTATCTATCTATCTATCTATGTAAATTAAACAGTTCCTATCTATCAGTCAAAAACAGTTCGTATTTTTTATTGAACGGTTCCTATCTATCTATCTATCTATCTATCTATCTATCTATGTAAATTAAACAATTCCTATCTATCAGTCAAAAACAGTTCGTATTTTTTATTGAACGGTTCCTGTCTATCTATCTATCTATCTAGCTAGCTAGCTATCTATGTAAATTAAACAGTTCCTATCTATCAGTCAAAAACAGTTCGTATTTTATATTGACCTTTTCCTATTTATCTATCTATCTATCTATGTAAATTAAACAGTTCTTATCTATCAGTCAAAACAGTTCGTATTTTTTTCTTGAACAGTTCCTATCTATCTATCTATCTATCTATCTATCTATCTATCTATCTATGTCTTCCATTAAATTTTATATATATCGGTTAATTTTCGACATTCTTATAAAAATAGATAAATTGCAAAGATTTATGACGTAAATATCCGAAGAAAATATTTCAGTTAACAATTTCTGTTTTTCTACTCTTGAAGGTAAATCAGTAAAAGCCGGGCTGCTAGTTTTCCTGAATAATAAAAGCGTTAAAGATTCTATCTTCTATTCATTCTATCTATCTATCGTAATAGATTTCCCAATCTGATGCTACTTATTAATAATATAAATGTTATATTTTGTGGCTACACATATTTGAGTAGCCACCCCTGTTTCTTTCTTTTTTGCCAAAAAGCAATAAATATTGTCTACCGGTCTAGACATCGAAAGTCTTAAGAAAGCAAATCTGCCTTCCTACATCAACCGAATATTTATCACCTTTTTAATTAAAGAAACTGCTTTCAAGCCACGATATATTGATCTGTAACATTGATGATAATTTAATGAGTTTTTTTTTTCGCCATTGTCAAGATAGTTATAGGTGAGTAGTTTTTAAAAATATCCACTAGTTAATTAGCGTGACATGCGAGTGATGATTATTTTACCATTGCTTGACATCTAATTTCTCATCTGGTCTCGCTCTAACATCTCAATTAGGAAAGAACTGGCTGGTCCCATTCAGTACCTCGAAAATCAGAGTAGTGACTCTCAATCATTACTGAGCGGACACAGAAATTTCACCAATGGCAGGAATCCCTTCAGTGAAGGCTCGGATCTTCAGTGTCTACTGAGCCTTAAAATCAACTCTAGACTTATCAAGTCCCACCCCCTTTTTACTTGTTCCTATTCCTTTCTTTTTGATACATACATTCCTTTCTGAATAAAGCAAGTAATGTTAATACTTATGTTAATGTTAATAATTACGTTAATAATAATAAGGCAACTAATATCGAATAAAGTAATGTTGATAATTACGTTATTAATGTTAATAATTACATTAATAATGGCAAAGCAACTAATGTCGAATAAAGTAATGTTGATAATTACATTATTAATGTTAATAATTACATTAATAACAGCAAAGCAACTAATGTCGAATATGGTAATGTTGATAATTATGTTAATAATGTTAATAATTGCATTAATAACAGCAAAGCAACTAATATCAAATAAAGTAATGTTGATAATTACGTTATTAATGTTAATAATTACATTAATAATAGCACAGCAACTAATGTCGAATATGGTAATGTTGATAATTATGTTAATAATGTTAATAATTACATTAATAATAGCAAAGCAATTAATATCAAATAAAGTAATGTTGATAATTACGTTATTAATGTTAATAATTACATTTATAATAGCAAAGTAAGTAATGTCGAAAAAAGTAATATTGATAATTATGTTAATAATGTTAATAATTACGTTAATAATAATAAAACAACTAATATTGAATAAAGTAAGTAACGTTATTGATCACAGCGTTGTACAGTGTTTTTACGACTCAATCCTGATTCTGCTGTATTCATTACACTTTGTGAAGGATAATCAAAAATCGATATTTGTTACACGTAATACAGTATCTTAGATTTTTTTTTACAGGTTATTATATATATACGCACAGAATTGGTTCGACGCCGGCTTCGGCAGTTCTCGAGAGTGTTGTGTTCCCACCACCCCCGGAAGAAACACGCAATATTAATTCACCCTTTCTTAATAGCTGCCAGGTAAGTAATATGTACGTTCTAGAGTTCAGCAGTTCAGTTTTAACGTCACTGCTAGATCACCAGCTCAGATGATTTGATTATATTGAGGAAGGTTTGTTTAGAATCAACAACACATTTCAGAACAGATGATAATAGAGATAATGCACAGTGGCGTATAAAATCCTCGAAAGGCTCAACTTTATATATATATATATATATATATATATATATATATATATATATATATATAATATTAGTGGTAAATATACACATACATATGCAAAATATATAAATATATATACATAGATGCATACACATACATATATATTTTTGAATAAAAAATTCCAAGAGGATAGAATCAGGTAGAACTCAATGTCCAGGACAGAGTAAGGACATAATAAAAAGGCTTAAACACTAATATTCCATGGTCATAATTTATTCCTTTGGAATCGTAAATACGATCAATTCCCCCAGACCTAAAAATTCAAAAGAAAACAGAAAAAACTACTCCGGAAATAAAAAATAGAATTTAGAGAGAGTAAAGTATTTCCGGAGTAGTTTTTTTTTCTGTGAATTTTTGAATTTGATATATATATGATATATATATATATATATATATATATATATATATATATATATATATATATATATATTATTTCAACCTTTGGAAGCAAATTCTGATGATCCAGAGCCCTGTTAAAGCGGTTGTGGTGAAATAACTTATTACATGGAACCTTAAAGTGGTCTGTTTTTATTCAAACAAAATATATATATATATATATATATATATATATATATATATATATATATATATATATATATATATTGTATATATAGGCAGCAATTTTTCATTAAAGCATGTTTCATTAAATAATATAGACAAGTTTTGTCTATTTATTTATTTATATATATATATATATATATATATATATATATATATATATGAAGAAAGAGCAGTCAGATATATAATCCGGTGTTCTTATAGATATTTTTTATTTTTACAAAATAGTGCTCAATGTAAATTTACAGAGCATAAATATTATAAATTAACTGATTTAAAATATGTTTTTTTCGCTCCACAGTTCTAAACATGTCAACAGGAAATTTACATTAGAAAAAAAGAAGTGTTGAACCGTTGTATAATATCTATTCTCCTGTATGGTAATGAATGCTGGGCAATAAAAAGGAGACTTAAATCAACAGAAATATAATTCTACAGAAGGATGCTGAGAATTCTATGGACGGAGCATATGAGCAACTAGGATGTTTTAAGGAAAATGGAACGAATAACACCTGTTCTTAACATCAGGAACAGTTTCAGAGATATTTAATGAGGAAAGACGGTATAGAGAATTTGATACTCCTGTACTTCATATTGAAGTAAAGATGTGTAGAAGGAAAGAGGAAAGAGTGTGTATCTAATGGGCTTGTGTAATTGAAAAAGTTACACTAGCCTGGGAGAAAAAGTAAGAGAGTTACAAAGGACTGGATGTTGTAGAAAACTATGATGGCCCATGTCCTGAAGGGATACAGCAGATAAAAGTAGAATCTTATTTTGCTATATAAGTGCAAGTAAATATTATCAAAAGAAAAACGCACTACTCTATTAAACAATGTACGAAAAAGACCTGCTAAGTCTTACTGTTATGGACCAAGGTTCGGACCAAGGAAAAACAACATGGACACAAGAGTAGAAATATCGAAGGTATATTACACGAAATAATAATACAAGATGTAGAAGGTGTTAGTATGACTGTCAGGCTGGTTTGGAGTGAACTACTATCGGCTCGACTCGATTCGGTATCTAGCCACCCCACCACGAGGGTTGCATGTGGCACAAGGCAGAGTTTAACGTGGGTTTCCTAAGTCCGTAGGCTCGGCTAAAAAATGCCCGTAGAACCCGGATAAACGGGATCGGGTTGGTCAACCTCCCCGAACGAGACTCTGCCCTTCGGCGGAGCCTCGTCCGGGTTCCTCTCTGCTCAGAGGCAGAGCTTCTCGGCTTGAATCGGTATCTAGCCAGCCCCCACTAGGGTTGCATGTGGCACAAGGCCGAGTTTATCGTGGGTTTCCCGAGCCCGTAGGCTCGGCCAAAAAATGCCCGTATAACCCGTATAAACGAGATCGGGTTGGTCATTTTTCCCCGAACGAGATTCTGCCCTTCGGCGGAACCTCGTCCGGGTTCCTTTCTGCTCAGAGGCAGAAAGTTCGACCGTCAAGTCGAGAAGCTCGGCTTGAATCGGTATCTAGCCACCCCCCCACGAGGGTTGCATGTGACACAAGGTCGAGTTTTATCGTGGGTTTCCTGAGCCCGTAGGCTCAGCCAAAAAATGCCCGTAGAACTCGTAAAAACGAGATCGGGTAGGTCATTTCACCCCGGACGAGATTCTGCCCTTCGGCGGAACCTCGTCCGAGTTCCTTTCTGCTCAGAGGCAGAGAGTTTGACCGTCAAGTCGAGAAGCTCGGCTTGAATCGGTATCTAGCCCACCCCCCCACGAGGGTTGCATGTGACACAAGGTCGAGTTTTATCTTGGGTTTCCTGAGCCCGTAGGCTCAGCCAAAAAATATGCCCGTATGACTCGTAAAAAAAACAGGGAGGTCATTCACCGAACGAGATCTGCCCTTCGGCGGAACCTCGAACGGGTTCCTTTCTGCTCAGAGGCAGAGAGTTCGACCTCGGCTTGAATCAGTATCTAGCCACCCCCACGAGGGTTGCATGCGACACAAGGTCATTTTTATCGTGGGTTTCCTGAGCCCGTAGGCTCAGCCAAAAAAGCCCGAGAACCCGTAAAAACGAGATCGGGTTGGTCATTTCTCCCCGAACGAGATTCAAGAACCTCGTCCGGGTTCCTTTCTGCTCAAAAGCAGAGAGTTCGACCGTCAAGTCGAGAAGCTCGGCTTGAATCAGTATCTACCATGCGACACAAGGTCATTTTTATCGTGGGTTTGAGCCCGTAGGCTCAGCCAAAAATATGCCCATATAACTGCAAAACGAGATCAGGTAGGTCATTTCCCCGAACGAGATTCTGCCCTTCGGCGGAACCCCGTCCGGGTTCCTTTCTGCTCAAGAGCAGAAGGACCGTCCGGCTTGAATCGACCCTCTCTCTTGAGAGGCGTAGTATACATAGTGTTAGGAAGAGTTCATTCTGTAGTTATAGGTAAGGACCCATGACACTTACACTTCCTAAAGACCACAATTTATATTTCGATAGAAGTAAAAGAAAGAGTACTGAACATTTACATAACATCAGTCCTCTTATATGACAGTAAATGATGGACAATCTCCTCATAGATAAAGAAGAGACTTCAAGCAACAGAAATGTTGTTCTACAGAAGGATGCTGAG